AACACATAGTCAAATTTTCAAGATTGTTCATATTCTAGTTCAATGGAGATAAAATTTCACTTCCAACTCATTATTTATGATCACTATATAACATTTTATTCGTCAACACAAAAATTTTCATACAAATCTCTATATTCATTTCTGTTCAATGTAGATTATAATATTCTGTTTTAAAATTATTTTATCCTTTTATTTAAATTTTATTAGAATGTATAATCAATAACAACATTGACTATTGAAATTATCTCATAGCAATCGATAAGAACTAACACTATAAAAATCTCTCCACACGTCGATTTTACGCTTGTTTAAAACAAATAAATGAAATTATCGTTTTTTTTCTAATAACATGAAATTAAATTTTCTCTATTATTGTCGATTGTTCAATTGGTTGTAATTTTTCCGTGCATGTACTTTGTTCGTCATCATCATCATCATCATCATCATCATCATTGTTTGATTCATTCTGTTGTGGAAATCTAGCCCATTGTAGAGGTTCTGCTGAACCATATAATAAAAATACAATACCTCCAATAATATAAATGATAATAAATGGAATAAAAAGTTTTCGCCAATCATTGAGTATTGGTTGTTTGATTACAAAACTTGCCATAATATTACCTAAAAAACCACTTAACGAAGCAAATGTATTGGCTATGCCAAAAATAAGTCCTGAATAAGCAGGAACAATATCAGCAAAATTAACAAGAAAACCAGAACCAAGAGCAAACCCTATATTTATCAGTAAAGAAAAACAAATTGTATTTTAGTTTTACTAATTGAAATTATCTCTAAACAACTAACCCGAACTAAAAAGATAAATAAGTACTGTGATAGCACCTAATATCTTTCGTGATTCATCACAAAAACATAATATTATAATGCACAAGGCAGAGCTAAATGACGTAAGTGAATTGAATAATTTTCGAACATTTGTTAATGATATAAAATTTTTTCGAACAAGATAATCAGCAGTAATGCCTATTATTAAAATAAATAAAATGATGAATGAATATATATATGTTTTGTTTTCTTTATCAATCATACCAGTCGTTAAACCTGATAGTTGCATTAATATAAATCCAGTACATAATATATATCCAATATATAATGTAGGAATATGATGAATATCTTGAAGTAATTTACCTAAAGTGTTTGAAAAAAAGAAAAGACCAAAGAGATTACACAATTGAGTAATAAATAAAGCAATGATCGGTTTTGATCGAATAATATTTTTCCATGGTAATGAAATTAATGATATGACTTGTCGTTGTTTGTCTTGCATTAATTGACCATTGAAATGATTAAGAAAATTTAGTTCATTTTCACTTATAGTCTTATGAAGTGCTGGTGTATCAGCAACATATATTGACCACCATGGAATCCATAGAAAACCGAGTAAACTAGATAAAATAAATAAATATATCCAACCTGAATCAATATAACGACAACAAAAACCTCCAGTTAACATTATAATAGCTACAAAAATATAAAATATCAATTATTTAAAATCTATAAAATAAATTTTTTCATATACAAACCTGTACCAAAATTAATACCAGAAAAACCTAATGATGTTAAAGTGCCACGTTCTTGAGGTGCAGCCCATACCGACCATAACGAATATGTTGCAGGTATAAGAGCACCATGCGCGAAACCAATAATAATACGTAAAATAAATACAAATACAAAATGCATAGTGTCAAGAAGATAAATAATTGACAGTGCTAATGTCGCAATGGAACTAATCAGTAGACAATAAATATATATTCGTTTTGCTCCTATTATTATCGATAACCAACCACCTTTCAAAAAGCAAAAATAAAAAGACTTCAAATTTTTCTTGAAATTATTTTCTATTTGGTTTTTAATTACCTGGTATAAGAGTAATTATATATCCAATCCAATAAGCACCTAGTACCATTTGTTGTTCCGATTCAGTCCATGAAAATCGTTTATCTTGAAAAAATAGACCAGTATTTTTTGATGAAATTTTTGTTATTTGATTATCAGTTCGAGCTAAATATGGTATTGATTCAAGTTCAGTATTAATATATGTCTTATTAATCATACAAACAATACCAATTGATAAATTAATACGTTGTGTGTATTGAACAACACAACCAAAAAAAATAAATAAAGTCAAAGAAAAACGAGCTGATGGAATAAGTGGACAATTTATTGTTTTAGTTTTCGTAGACATCATAATAACAACAGAAAATATCTATATTTAACACCAATGATAACATATATTCTTTTAAATATTATAAAGTATGATAATACGTACAGATTATTGAATAATTTATTCATAAACAGGGTTAGTATTCAGTATATCACACAAGAAAGAAAAATGATGAATTCGTTATTGAGGAGAATTAATAATGTAGTACGATCTGAAAGAATGGAATTACATCACTAACAGAGATTAAAAAGAAAAAAGGAAAGAGTAAATGAATTAATATTCTAGAACAGAGAAAAATAGAAAAAAAGCAATCGGAAGATCCAAAATAAGAAAATAAAACATATTGCAAAAACATATCGATCAATCCTTATCTGTTATTTCCGCTTTTTTTATCTTGTTTTTATGATTACAACTCAGTTTTTATTGTTTTGTTTTTTTTCGATTATTCAAATATTGCTGCAAATCATTTATTATTCAATGCGTAAATCAGAGTGAATCAAGTACAGTTTACAATTCATTTTATGGTAATAACAAATAGAAAATACGAGATTATTCTCTGATAATCCTCGATAAAAATATAAATCTTTAATAAGACATATTTTATCTTAATATTATAAACAAGTTTGCCTTTTGAACTTTCATCTGAATCTTTAGAGAATTGTTTATTGTTAATTATGATAATCATAATGATCACAATGAGATAAGTCATATTTGGTTTATTTACAATCGAGATAGTGGCGTTGCTATAGATGAGACTGAACCCTCTCTCGTCAGAAAATTTTCAAAGTCTTTGTTAAAACAGTAGTTCCAAAGAAGTTGTGTGCGAGGAACTCAGTTTCTTGTTATACAAATCAAGGAAAAGTCGAATTCTCTTTGTCACTAGTACATTTGAAAAAAGTGAAAGAGAAATCGATTTAAATACTTAACATACAAAGAAATCATATTAAAAAAGTAATGTTTATTAAACATCAATTAATAGAAGAAGTTGTTTTGATACTTTCTTATCAATATATAAATTATAGAAGCTATGTACAAAGCTTGTGCTCTTATTACTACTAGACAAACGTTTTATTCGAATTTTCACATGAAACATTTTTCAACATTCAATCATTTTCCAAAATCTCTTCAAATTTGAAAGATTTTCCTCAACGTATGTTGGCGTACACAGATAGATTCTGTATGTTTGGCTCAGTCTTGCTCCTGGCCACAAACTCCAGTGCCACTGTTAATTCAAATATGCCATACTACTATTACTCCTACTACTACTATCCTGCAGTTGTTATGAGAAGAAAGCAATGTGGAAATTACCATTATTTACATCTGGCAAATTCTGTAAACTTATGATATATACGATATTGAATATACTACAACACAGAATCTAATAAAAAGAAGCACTATAATTTATTTATGAATAATATCATAGTAAAACTCGATTATCATTCAAGTGATCAGTAGAATAAATGAAATGGTCACTATAAGTACAATAAATGAGTGATCAGTTGTTAAAACAATTAGGATTACTAGTCTATTTAAAGATCAGTAAATTAAATTAAAGAGTAAGTATAAAAATCGGCATATGTTGTAGAGTGTAGATATGGGTATTATCTCTTGACTGCTCAAACTCATATCTTCATTGTTAGTATGGATATTCGTTTTTAATATTGTAAATCATCATCAGCAACAAAAAAAAAAATAGTGCTGAGCCATAAGAAAAAAAATAGAGTTAGATCAGTAAAAGTTAAATTTGCTTTACTAGTACAATAATTGAATTTTCATTTTTTCCATTCATTCTTGGAACTTCTAGTTAATATTCTTTTGGATATCTTCTTATTTATTCTTCTTGTACGATTTTGAATAAACACAAAGATATAATATATGATTAATGGTTTGCTACGAACATGACAAAAACAGGAATTTCTAGTTCTTTTTTATCGAAACATTTTTCTATATAATACAACCAAAGATCCATCTTAGTAATAAAAACATTTTGTTGTTGTTTTCAAATTGTACATACAAGAAATGAATTGATTCTTCAAAGAACTAGACTTATATCAAATAATATATATTTTGCTATTAGTTTTTTTTAATTATATGTCTTCTTTTTTGTGTATTCCTTAATATGTCCTTGACATTACTATCTATTAATATTCTTATTATTCTGTATGCTTTCAATAGTGTAATACAAAATGCTTCAATGTAAATATTTAAACATACGCAAAGTGCGAACTAATTTATTTTTCAAACTTATTAAAGTCTTTGTTTTTCTTTGAAGAATATTCTGCAAACACATAACAGAATATTTGCTTAAAACATATGTCTACGAAAATATTTTGAATGGCAAATATATTTCTAATGATTGATAGACAATACATCCTTTAATATCTTAGTTATTTATCATTAAAAATATGTCATGAAAAGTCTTTTGATTATTTAGATCATTATAGAAATAAAGTAATTATACGATGGTCATTGACACGCATATGTGTAAAGCTCATGATGTTTAATAATTATTCATATGACTATATGATCAAATAAATCGTGTATATATAATGATCGTCTATGCAAAAAGAAATTCTTTTAAAAATAAAATCATGTTAATAACAATATATTAATTTCCGTTCAGAATCACTTCATGTAACATCTAGTGTTTATACAAAGAGATACGATTCATGTTCGTAATAATTTTTTATTTCTAAACTATTCATTTGTAAAACGGAATAATAAAATGATATCAATACAGTTCACAAAAAAAAACAGCATGATTATATATTATGTTAAAAAACAATTATCCTCTCGAAAAACTACTTTTCATCGAAAACTATAATGGTATCAATGTTGAAGTGATAATACCCGTTATTAAAAATAAAATTAATAATAATAAAATAAAAATTTTTATTCGAATTGATTTCTTCGTACTATTTTTATATGTATCATTTTTTGAATCTAAATTTATTTCATCAGGTTTTTCATCATTAGTAGAAACCATTGCAGTATTATTTGGATTAAAGTCAATACGTATAAGTGCTGCTTTAGCATGACGTTCCCAATTGAAACGTTGTATAAACATAAATAAAAGAGTATTAGTCACTGTTTCAGCAGCTATAATACCAATCCAAAATCCATATATATCAATACGAACATAAAACATTAAAAAAGCTGCAATAGGAATACCGAATACATAAAAACCAAAGAATGCAATCATAGCGCCACGTTTTTGTTTTCCACTACAATCAAAAACAAAATAGAAAAACAAAAAAGAACATTTCGTTTTAGAATTTTACCAAGCTTTAACAATGCCTGTATTAATAACATTATATCCATCCCATATTTGACAAAGAGCAATAAGTAAAAGAACACGTCGAGCTAATGTTACTGCATCAGCATGTGTATCATAAGCCAATGGAAACCAATAATGAGAAAGTATAATTAAACAAATATTAATAAGAATAATAATCGCACCAACTGCATATGTCACATTTTTTGTATTAGCTGCTTCCAGAGGTTTTCCACTACCTAAAAATTGCCCAATACGTATATTAGCTGCTGTAGCAAATGATGATGTTACTAAATAAAATAGCCATGTTGTTTGATAAGCACATACTTGTGCTGATAATGAACGAATGCTAAGATGAGCAGCAAAAAATATACTTAATTCAATTGACCAAAATTCTGTCCTATAAAATAGACACAATTAAAAGTTTTAAATCAATTAAAGCTTATAATAAATCTCTACGTACATAACCATTAATATACCTGGTACTGATAATTTTAAATAAACACTCCATTCATTTAAACATGCTCGATTTATTGGATGCCATGTTTCATTATAGATTGATGAAAATCGAATATAAAAAAATGCACATAATGCAATTATGCCATATGAAATAGTAATTGATATAGGTACGGAACGTACACCCAAATGAAATTTATATAAGAAAAGATAATTTAAAAGTCCATTGACACCATTGCCAATCAGATTAATTACTAATAAAGGCCATGTTTTTTCATTTGATGCTATATACTTTTGAAGTAACATTGATAAACCATCAAATGGAACAGCAACAATAAATGAACGTAAAAAAGCATCAGCTATTCGAACAACTTCTTGATCATGCTCAATTAATTTTAATACATATTTCTATCGAATAAAAAAAGAATATAAATATACATATTTATTGAAAATGATTCAACATGTCAATTCAAAAATTCGTTTCAGCAGTATTTCTTAAAATAAAATTTTTCATTATTTCTAAATAAGTCATTACCGCATTAAGCATCAATGTCCAAGAAATTAAACACGAATATCCCGTTATAATAACAGCTCGTTGTACAGTTAAACCCATTTTAAGTTTATTTCCACCGAAACATTGTGGTAATAAAGTATCACAACCAAAATTAAGTCCAAGCATTAAAGAATTTGCAATAAGGATATAAGTAGAGAAAGCTAAAGCAGAAGCATTTAATGCTATTTGTCCATGTACATGACCTATAAATGCAAGTGAGACAAATGAGAGAAGCCAAGAAGCAAGAACATTTCCCAATGCGAATGGGAAAGTAATTTTAATTAATGTTAACGCTTCGTCACGAAACCCAAGTGGAAAATATCGTTTTATCAAGGACGTTGATGTTTTTTGTGCTGACGCTTCGACCATCTAAATAAAAAAAGATGACTATTTTTTTAGAAAAAATGTATGTTGATCAATTTTGAAAGTTTATGACAAATAACGAAAAGATTGATGCAATTTTTTAGTCTTTTTATCGAATAATACTTGTGATAATGCATTTTTAGTTGATGAATCTTCATCGATGTTATTAGATGATTTTTCAATGAGATTCTCATTGCATGTTATTGGTATCATTAATGTTGTCGATAAATTATTCTTTGTCTAAAAACAAGTAAATATTAATATTTTCTCGGTTATTTTTTTTTATTTACTAATCAATAATTGACAATTTTATCTATTAATCAAACTAAATTATTTTTTTTTGACAAAATCATGTTGTTCATTATGTTATAGAGCAATACATCCCTATTCAATACAAGCAATCGATTAACTTCGATATCATCCTTGGGTTTTTTTCTAAATCACTCTAAATAATGAGTTATTATGGAGTGTTTCATGAGTCATCGTGTATTTCTATTTGCAATTCAGACGAAAAAAGTGTTCATTTGATAATTAAAAGAAAAAGAAAAGAATGAAGGAGAACTAAATATAGTAAACAAGACGATAGTTTGGTGCTTTTAGCCAATGTTAGAAAAAAAATTCTTAGAAAAAAGATCTTTCCTTATACTTGGAAATACGAACTCTAGCCTCATTTTTATCGCAACGTTAAGAACAGAGAAGAAGGAAAAAAAGAAAAAAGAAACGAAAAAGAAATAAGAAGGAAGGAAAAAGAGCACGACTAGTAGTAGCCAAACGCTATTTCTTTTTATTGATAATGCGCTGATTTTATTTGTCGTTGGTGTTTTTTCTTGTTCAGCAGCAGTCGGCAGAAAGAATAGAGATAGAAGAAAAAGAAGTATAGATGCATACGTCATCATACACAAAAACAATGTCATAGACAACGATAGACTTAAATTAAAAAAAAAAGAAATCGTCATTTATTCATTGATCAAACATTTAAAATCTTTACAACTCATTATAACATGCTAGGGTAAGTTTATTGAATTTGTCTTTAGAAATCAGTATGCTATTATCATTTGATTTAATGTGCGTGTTCTAAACTTTATGATTTGCAGAAATTCTACCATTTCCGATTATGCTGATTCTTTTTGTTTATGAACTTTAACGAGATTATTCTATCGAAAATAATTTGATAATATCTAGTACAAATTACTAACGTAAGACATTTGTAACTTGCCATTTCAATAAAAAAGATATGAAATAAAAGATAGTTTTTTTCAAATTTTTGAATCTTCATTAAAAGAAAAACATTAATTAATATCAAATATGATTCATAATGACGAATATTGACTTTAGTTTCTTTTTAGTAGGTACACTTACAATATTAAATCATCAAGCAAATAGTGTAACATGAATCTGAGTTTTATGTTTTTTTCGTTTAAAAATGTGCATAGTACCAAATAGAAAATAAACTTAATTCGTTCTCTCTTACGTCTACATTTGAAAACATAGTAGAACTAATTTTCTTTGTCACTTTGTAATGGCGACTGTTTTAATTTAAGTCAGACGTATGATATTTTAATGAATATTTTATATAAAAATAAATGGTGACAAAACCAAAACTCATCAAGCATGTTCATCATTTTTTTGCTATATTAACTTGTATACGATAGTTTTTCTTTCTCGACATGCAAAAGGGCGGATCACGACACTATAGACTTGTCTGCATGACAAAAAGAAACGAGAAAAGTTTTACTCTTTTTGTTTTCTTACTCAGAGTCACGTAATCATTTTAGTGTTAGAAGCAAAAGATGTTATTCAATTTTGAAAATAATAATATAAGAACGGAAAGAGGTTTTTCATCGTTATATAGTGTTCTATTTCTTTAAATATTTCAAATTAATTTTTCTTTTTAAAAGAAAAGAAAATATTTTGTCATCGCAAGAATGTTCATCATGTTTGACCTCTTTTGTACTCTATCCGTATTTCTTTTTTCTATGACATTCTCAAAAACATGAGTAACAGGCAACACATATGTGTATGAGACGGGAGAAAGTTAAATAACAATTATTGTCATTCATTTCTCTTCTTTTCTATATCATTATTTTTATTCGAAAGAAATTGATCGAGTTCTGACTTTGAGTTAGTCAGCAACAAAAAGAGAAAAAAAATACATATGACAATTTCATCAAGGCTATCATCATCATCATTATTAACATTTGGCCAATATTCGATTTGGTAAGATAAAGAAACCTGTGTCTAGGTCAATTAATTAGAAATACAGATTTTCGTGTAAATGTTAAATATTGATTCGCCTATATTTAATAGTGTTGACAATTCGCCATCGATAAAACTAACGAATGTATACGACTATATGATGCATAGAAAAGAAAATTCTTATTAAAAGAGAACGAAACGAACCGTGTAAACTTATTTGATCCATTAATCATCCAAATGTATAGCAACCCTGTCTTTTTTTTTTTTTTTGTTTTTCATTTACCTAAACAAATTATCTTTCACGTCCACCGTTGATACGTAATGTACACGGATGCATTTATATACTTATATGTGCTTCAAGACAACGAGTATGAGAATACAAAGAATGAGGTTTTCTTTTTCGATCGACTCAATAAAAGTAAAACACGTAAAATGTCGACAAATAAATTTATCGAAGTAATATTCATATAGGCGGAGGGGCCAATGAAAGGCAAGCAGTGATGCACAACCATATTACTCTTTTTTTTCATTCGTAGTTTGGTCGACGATTCTTCAGTTACTATTGACTATAATAGACAAATAAGTATTCAATAATGTTAGCTTCATCAAACGTCATGTACGTAAGCGGACTCTAGCCTATTTACTAAGAAAATGGATTAGTTAAGTTTAAAAAACAGATACAAAAACTACTTGTGTTACTATTACTAGAACTTTTTTTGATTGCAAAATTAACACTCACAAAGATATATATTTTTTTCATATTCCAGTTATTCACGGTTACTTGTTCGTCATCATTGGCTTGTACTTGGTTTTGTTGTTTTTATTTCAATTATATTAACAATAGCTGGTTTTGCTTTTACACAATTACCAGATTTTTCTGACCCGAGAATAGTAATAGAAAATTTAGACTAACAAGAGAAATTTGCATTTTTTGATTTTATATTAAAAAAATAGGGATGGGGTGCACGTGGAAAAGGTACAATTTTTTCTCAATTAATGGTTTTACGGCATGCATCAGAAAAATTTCGTCTTGCCTATGAATTACCATTAGAAACAAACGAATTATTTGGTGCATTTAATCAGTTTTCTAACGTAACTGTTGAGGATCTTGATGACAATTCTTATCGATTTGATATACTTGCTAAATATGATTTATGGAGAAAGAAAAATTCCCTTAGACAATATGATGAATTAATTGATTATAAAAATTTAAATGATCATTTCTATGATTATGATCACGATGATAATGAAATACCAGATTATGATGAAGAAAATTCTCAAACATCATTGCTTTATCAATGGCATCGTGATAGACATTTTGATATTGGAAATTCAATTATAAAATATGTTGATGATAAAATGTATGTTTATCCTTTGAAATTAAATATTGATTTTTAAATAATCTTCTCTTTGTTTTTAGGATTAATATAACTGTATCAGAATTTGTTAAAAATTTACCACAATTCAATCGAAGTAATTATCAATCAGCTAGATTACCTTTTGATCTTTTTCGACCATATGCATATCTACTTGAAGAAAAATATCGCGGACGAACAGGTAATAATCAATCCTTTGTTCTTAATATTAACATTATAAAACAAAACAGACATATTCTATATAAATTAACAATTATTTCGATCAGTATTTTGTTTTTGTATAAAAAAATGTTAGTCTATTTATTGAAAATTAAATATTGTCTCTCGTATTATTTTGAAGTTAAGGTCGAGAAGATTAAAAACAAAAATATAGAAGTATACAAAAAGGTAATATTGACTCATTCAACAGTCACTCGAAACTCGACATATATAAAGCTTAATACAGAATTCGTATATACATTGACAAGAATGTTTTACCTGATGAAACTTGATATATAGAGTTTGATAATTAGCAAATCAATGAAACCTATTTTCTAACATAAAATATAACTTTTAAAAAAATAAAGAGAACGATTCGTGTAGGAGTTTTCGTCATCGGATTAAAATTATTCGATTTAGTCATATCAAATATTCCAACAATGTGATATCGAATTGTTATTACAACAATTTATTCGGACATAATATCTATTCGCATTTTAACAAATACTCTGAATTAAAAATCAAGCTATAGATATTTTTTTCTTGTTCTTAATTCATCTTTCAATCTTTGAAATTGTGTAACATTTTCACGGAAATATTTTTCCATTGTTTTGAAGCTTTATGGTCAAACCTTCTTGATTTCTTTTGTCAAAATTGCATAGTAAATATGTGTATCTGATTTTAATTCAAAGCTTCTGGCTTATTGCATTACAGACAGACGTGCAATACTAATGATTGTTACGTTTCATGTTACTTGTATCAATCTATAAATTATACGTTTTTTTTTTAGACTAAGATAGATTATTTTTTGAAGGAAAATGGTGAATGTAAGTTTTAAGTCAAGGTTTTCGTGCCCCACACTCAGTCCTTCAACTTCATAGCAACCGATATCTAAGGTTATTAGGTACAATTCCCTAGTAATCGAGGTCAGTGAATGTAAGACTCCTTCTCCAGAGTTCCTTTGTAATGGAACAAGGTGTTAAATGGCATTAACAAAAAAAATGACTTCGACTATTCTAGAATATTTCAAAGGCTTCGTTTAAATTTAAATGATCGAAATACGTTTGTGAATGTTTTAAATGGTGTAGTTTTTTATTTCGAGATGTCAACGATGATGGGTAGTGACGTATGGATGTGTCACAATTATTATATAAGTAATAAAAAAAAAGCGTGAAAATTGAACAAATTATAACTGTGAAGAATAATCAATATCAATGATTTTGAGGTCATCGAAATATAAAATTCTGTTATGAAATCTTCTGTAGATAAAATAGATATGTACATCATGTTTAGTTACCAGTTAAATTAATAGTAATATTAAATGAAGGAAAATGCAGTATGAAAAAGAAAAATAATGTGCGAATAGCAATAAGACAAGCAACAACTAGATGGTCAGGAAAATAAACTTTCCGTTTGAAATACAGGAATAAATAGAGCAGAATC